TGGATTTGGTTTCTGGCTTCTTGTTTAAGCATCAATAGATGAGCTCTCCCATCTTCCTTGGCCTATCAGGGACTCCTTCGAATCGCAGGCGTTGGGAACAATGAGAATAATAATTGATTAAAATTGCTTTAACCACTCCGGGTGGCTCACAACGGCCCAACCAAGAAATCACCATAAAATCAATCCAAGAATCACACACCGGAGCAGCCGGTGTTTTTGCAGTTCTTCACCTTAGCTCAGGGGTCGGCAAACTTAAAACACTCAAAGAACCATTTGGACCCGTTATCCCGCAGAAGAGAAATCACTGGGAGCCACAAAGGCCCTAACCGGAAGCCCCTGTACAATTCTGGAGCTGACCGGAAGTTCAGTCCCCCCCACCATAGAATCTCTTCCTGGCGCGGCGGACTTTTTCCTTTACCTGTCCTAACCGGAAGCCCTATCAATTGTGGAGACAACTGGAAAACCCTCCCCTTGCCATAGAGTCTTCTCCTGGCGCACTGTGTTTCTCTCCCCCACCCCACCCCCACCGGAAGCTCCTCTCAAAATTGTGGCGCCGGCCAGTGAATGAGTCGCAGCAGAGGGAGGAAAGAGCCACATGCGGCTCCTGAGCCGCAGTTTGCTGCCCCCTGCCTTAGCCCATAGCTAGGACCTTTTTTTTTTTTTTTTGTATCTTAAGAAATTAATATTTGCTCTTCATTTTTGTAAATTTCCTGACGGGCAGAGGGTTTCTCCAGACACAAGGATGCCCGCTCGGTTCGTAGACGACGAAGACCTGGCCTACGTCATCCAGCGCTACAGAGAGGTCCACGATCTGCTACACACCCTCCTTGGCATGCCTACCAACATGCTTGGTGAGTTGTCTTAACAGCCGGGGGTGGGTGGGTGGGTTACGTCTTGCAGTCTCCACACCATTGGGGGGGGGATTGGTGAGGCCTGAGCCACAGGGCACGAGTGGCCGGAGAATGAGAAGGACCACATTCCTGCTTGAGATGGATGTCCGCCAAAATGGAGAGTAGGTTCGGCTTCAGGGCTCGATTGAAATACTCAGCCCGGCGGTGATTTTTATTTGCAGAAGCAGGAAAGGCTTTCTCAGCAACCTGTTTTATGGTGGGACTCCTCTGGAAACGTCACTTGTCTGTCCTCTGCTTTTCCCAATTCTTATCCAAATCTTTGGATCTTCCCATTTTTTTTCCTCTTCCCTTTCTTTTCCTTCCTCTCATTTCCAATTCCTTCTTTCCTTCCTTCCATTTTTTTCCTTTCCTTTTTAACACCTTCCTTCCCTTTTTTCTTTTCCTTTTTCCTTTCCTTTCTCTTGTTCCCAACTTCTTCCTTCCTTCCCTTTTTCTTTTTTTCCCAACTCCTTTCATTTTTTTCCTTTCCTTTCTTTTTTCCTTTCCTTTCTCTTGTTTCCAACTCCTTCCTTCATTCCTTCCTTCATTTTTTCCTTTCCTCTGTCTCATTTCCAATTCCTTCATTCATTCATTTTTTGTTTCCTTTTCAACTCCTTCATTTTTTCCTTTCCTTTTCTTTCTAACGCCTTCCTTCACTTTTTTCTTTTCCTTTTTCCTTTCCTTTCTCTTGTTCCCAACTTCTTCCTTCCTTCCCCCCTCCCTCCCTCCCTTCCTTCCTTCATTTTTTTCTTTTTTTCAACTCCTTTCATTTTTTCCTTTCCTTTCTTTTTTCCTTTTCCTTCTCTTGTTTCCAACTCCTTCCTTCCTTCATTTTTCCTTTCCAACTCCTTCCTTTATTTTTCCTTCCCTTTCCCCCTTCCCCTGTCCCTTTTTCCTTTCCTTCCTCTTGTTTCCAACTCCTCCCTCCCTCCCTTCCTCCCTTCATTTTTTCCTTTCCTCTGTTTCATTTCCAACTCCTTCATTCTTTCATTCATTTTTTGTTTCCTTTTCACTCCTTCATTTTTTCCTTCCCTTTTTCCTTTCCTTTCTCTTGTTCCCAACTTCTTCCTTCCTTCTCCCCTCCCTTCCTTCATTTTTTCTTTTTTTTTCAACTACTTTCATTTTTTCCTTTCCTTTTTTTTCTTTCCTTTCTCCTGTTTCCAACTCCTTCGTTCCTTCCTTCATTCATTCATTTTTTCCTTCCCTTTCCCCCTTCCCCTGTCCCTTTTTACTTTCCTTTCTTTTGTTTCCAACTCTTTCCTTCCTTTCTTCATTCCTTCATTCATTTTTTGTTTCCTTTACAACTCCTTCATTTTTTTTCTTTCCCTTTTCCCTTTTTCCCTTCCTTTCTCTTGTTTCCAACTCATTCCACCCTTCCCTTCCTTTTCCCTTTTCCTTCCTTTCCCCTTTCCCCCCTTCCCCTTTTTCCTTTCCTCTCCTCCTCTCTCCTCCTCCCCTTCATTTCTTCTTGCAACATCCGGCCTCCATGCCATCAACAGGTGACTTAATGGCCTCCTCCTTAAATTCCCAATGAAAGGATGTGTGCTTCATAATTGCTCTAACCACGGGAGCTCTTCACCCTTCCCTTTCGGAAAAAAAAAATAAACTGC